ACATATACATCTATATATAATATATATATATATATATATATATATATATATATATATATATATAGATATGAGTAGGCCGGGGGGGGCCCGGGCCAGTGCCATCATCCCCCAGGACTGCCCCGGGCCGCTTTCAAATTGCCCACGACAGGCCACGCGGGCCGTACACATGGTCAAGAAAGCCTCAAGAGGCCCCGAAGACGCCCAAGAGCGCCCCAAGAGGGCCCGAGATGGTTTCAGGATGGCCGACGAGGGCCCCCAGAGGGCCTTCAAGACGCAAACATCTGCCCATTCCCTTCGTAAAACGTACGCTTTCAGCATACTCGCTTGCTTCGTCTTCACAGTGCCCCAGACGCCCCCGCGGAGCCCAGAGACAGCCCACGAAAGACATTAGAGGGCCCCAGACAGCCCGAAAAGGTCGTCCCGTGGGGCCCACGGAACCCCCCAAGACGGCCCAAGAGGCCCCGAAGTCCGCCCAGGAGGCCCCCAAGACGGCTTCAGGGAGGCCCAAGAGGGCCTCGTTCGAAATCATGTTCCCAGAAACCTATCCAGGAACATGATTTCTGGGTTCCGAGAAGGCCAAGAGGCCCACAAGACAGCCTCAGCGAGGCTCAAGAGGGCCCGAGATGGCTTCAAGATGGCCGAAGAGGGCCCCAAGAGGGCCTTCAAGAGGCAGCAATCGGCCCATTCCCCATGTAAAACTTATAGTTTCAGCATACTCGCTTGCTTCGTCTTCAGAGTGCCCCAGACGCCCCCGAGGAGCCCCAACACAGCCCAAGAGAGACCCAAGAGGGCCCAAGACGGCCCGAAAGGGTCTGGGGCTGACGGAACCTCCCAAGACGGCCCAAGAGGCCCCGAAGCTGGCCCAGGAGGCCCTCAAGACGGCCTCAGGGAGGCCCAAGAGAGCCTCGTTCGACATCATGTTCCCGGAAGCCTCTCTGGGAACATGACTTCCGGGTTCCGAGGACGCCCAAGAGGCCCACAAGGCAGCCTCAGCGAGGCCCAAGAGAGCCCGACATGGCTTCAAGAGGGCCGAAGAGTGCCCCAAGAGGGCCTTCAAGAAGCAAAATTCTGCCCATTCCCTATGTAAAACTTACGTTTTCAGCATACTCGCTTGCTTCGTCTTCAGAGTGCCCCAGACGCCCCCGAGGAGCCCCAACACAGCCCAAGAGAGACCCAAGAGGGCCCAAGACGGCCCGAAAGGGTCTGGGGTTGATGGAACCTCCGAAGACGGCCCAAGAGGCCCCGAAGCCGGCCCAGGAGGCCCCCAAGACGGCCTCAGGGAGGCCCAAGAAAGCCTCGTTCGACATCATGTTCCCGGAAGCCTCTCCGTGAACATGACTTCCAGGCTCCGAGGACGCCCAAGAGGCCCACAAGACAGCCTCAGCGAGGCTCAAGAGGGCCCGAGATGGCTTCAAGATGGCCGAAGAGGGCCCCAAGAGGGCCTTCAAGAGGCAGCAATCGGCCCAGTCCCCACGTAAAATTTGCATTTTCAGCATACTCGCTTGCTTCGTCTTCAGAGTGCCCCAGACGCCCCCGAGGAGCCCCAACACAGCCCAAGAGAGACCGAAGAGGGCCCAAGACGGCCCGAAAGGGTCTTCCGTAGCCATTCTGGCTCAAGCCAGTGGAGTGAACATGGAATTTAGCTCAAATATCTGACTCCTGTTCGCTCATGGGTGTGTGCTTTGTTTGTTTCACCCTGCAGCGGCTTCAATATTAGAGTACCGTATGTGTGGTTCTCAATTTGTGCGTTGGTCAGACATTGGGGACGACTGAGAATGGGTTACCAAAAAAGGCAATAATTGTACTTCACGTGGGTCCTCCCAAAACAGGTTCCTCAACAGTTCAGATTGAGTTATATAAGCATCAGTCTTGGTTGCGTGTCGACGGCTGGACGTTTGTCAACGCATCGCAGTTCGGCAAGTCCACAAGAGACTTTCAGATCAGAAACGCTGCGGCGTGCTACCGGAATATAGGGACAGGCGAACAGGCACATGATCCTGATTATTCAGAAATGTCTTGTACGAAATGGCATGAGTTTCTTGCGACGAACGTCTGGTGATGTCAAGTGAAAAGTTCGCCCATGTAGATGGCGACGACATGTCGCAGCTCGCATCCGACTTAGCCCCATTCACGACGAGAATCGTTATGGTCTACCGGCCCTTTTACGATTGGGTTGCAAGCGTGTATCGACAGACAGGTCACGGGACATCTTTCGAGGCGTGGTTGACCGATGAAAGAATGGAATCTCAAGTAAAAGGCTTCACGACGAGTGTTTTCAAACGATACGCGTCCGTTTTTGCTGACGTAAAGGTTCACACATTGGGGCCCTCGTTGATGGCAGATGTTGCTTGCGATGACCTTGAGGCTAGGACTACTTGTGCTCATTTCCAGGGATCAGCCCCAAAACCACACAATGTAAAAGCCGCAACAAGTGGACGAGAATGTCTCAGCGCTTACCAGTTGCAAAAGTTGCAAAACATCTCATTCGAGTTGCACATGGAGGCATTCGGTTTTTTTTCAAGTTTCCCGAAGTCTGATTTCGATACCAAGGCGCCAATATGCTTCGGCAATGAGTAACTGTAGTTTCGATGGCAGCGGCCTTCTATGGAATCCTCACCATGATTTCTGCGATTCCCCTGAGGGTAGTCATAATTTCACCGTGACTTGAGGCTGCAGTTTTCCGTCAGAGCACAGTCGTGTCGTGCGTTCCACTAAAAAAGATGCGCGAGTGATATTTTAGGTGCGACGCTGCGGGCGATGGCAGGCGACGCCGTGGCAACAGGCATCGGCAGCAGAGGGCACCAGCAGTCTCTCGCGCGCCTGCACTAACCTAGCGCAAGTTTTTGCGAGGGGGGGGCTTCGGACAAGGAGGGGGATAGGAGGAGGACAATGGGGAGGAAAAGGGGAGCGGATTGCGTCGCATCCGCCGTTGCTCCCGAGAAAAAAGAGGGCCCAAGACGGCTAAAAAGGGTCGGCCTGTGGGGCTCACGGAACCCCCAAAACGTCCCAAGAGACCCCGAAGCCAGCTCAGGAGGCCCTCCCCCCACGAGCGATGCCCTGGCAGATTGGGCCAGTTTGATTGCCGCCAGTTTCCGTCGAACGCGCGCGGATCAAGGGTGCGACGGTGATAACGGATCATTGTGCAGGCAGTTGCACGTCTCGTGGAATATGTTGCGGCGTTTATTTCCGTGTTTTGCGTCGTGAATTCTTGTTATCCGTGTCGCGCCTCCGTCTACTCACTCCCTCCTCCTCCTCCTCCCTCCTTTTCCATATCACGATCAGAATTATCGCGATGTGACAGGCCTCGCACTTGGGCAACACAAGGGGGTGCCGCCAGGGGATAATTAGGACACTTACCGGTTCGTGCCCAGATTGTGGGGATGTCTCCAGCGGTTCGCTTGTTTCACGGATGTAGGCGCGTCTTTTTCAGGGCCGCGTGGTGTTCGCGATGTCGCTACAAACGTTGCTGGGCGCCACAATGGGGAGCGACCACGGGGTGGGACATTTGCCCACTTGCGGTCAGCATTCGGGGATATCTCACGCGAGACGTTGGCTTTTTGAGGTGGGTGTATTTTTTTTCAGGGCCGCCACGAAGGAAGCGAATACTCGGATCAGTCCCGGCAGTCGCCGCGGTACTGGGAAGACCGTCGGATCGATCATTTCGTTGTCGATTTTTTTTGGCGCGTACCGTTCAAACCTTCAGGGTGGCCCAGTGTTGGCAAATTTTGCGCGGTGGTTGCACGACGAAGGTGGGCGCACCATAGAACCCTTCACGACAGCCCATCGTTGTAAAGATTTTCGTCGCGGGGCCTTGGACGCTCTGGGTCGTCTAGGCCTTGGATAGGCGTAGAGTGCGTGAGGGGTGTGCCGAAATCGGGCCCATTGAGCCGTCTTGAGAGGTACGTAGCTGTTTCTTATGTCTTGTTTCGCCGATCGGCGCGGGCCCCCGCTCCCTCCTCCCCAAAGACCAGATCTTGGCTGCTTAAAGCGGTTGCTTCAACCGGGTTGATCAAGCACTGGGGCCCGCCCCCCTCCTCCCCCCGGTGGACACACGAGCTGCTGCTGTACGTGTGTGAGTTGTTTTCTCGAGGCGCCCCCCTGGGAATGAAACAAAGGGTATGTAGGCAGCTGAAGTGGGATCATGCGGAATCCTATTTCGACCTGCGGCCGTCTGTATGTTTCATGGTTGCACGCCGAGTGGAACACGTCCACCGCGTCGACAACGAACATACTTTTTCGCGTTGCATGCCGAGTGGAATTCGTCCACCGCGCCCGCAACAGCTCCTCTGCCGCGTGGAATGTGATTCCATTGTTCCGCCAAAAAGGGTGTGGAAAGGAAAGGGATTGAGAGGGTTTGCTGAGAGGAGAATGCAGGATTAAGGTCGACTGGGGCTCATGGCGTGCATCCGTGGGGGCATAGAGGGATGGTGCGGTTTGCTGATTCATCATGATTGACAGAAGTCTTTCTGCTCTCCGATGCTGCGAACCCTAGACCGTCGCCGCATCTTGCTAGAACCAAAGCGCGAGCGCAGCGCGCGCGTGGTTCTAGTATACATAGATATATACACACACATACATACATACAAAAACTCTTGATCAACCGCAGAGCGGCTGCTACTCGTACCATGAGGGTGTCTGTTGGCCTCAGGTTAGTGGTTGACTCCGCCGTTTCGCTCCCCTTTCTCCTCCCTCTTCTACCCCCCCCCCCCCTTCCTCCGCATCCCCCATTCCCGCCATCATTCTCATCCGTCCCCCCTTAGCCCCCCTCTCCTGTACCTGTCCTCCTCTCCTCCTCCTCCTCCTCCTCCTCCTCCTCCTCCTCCTCCCGGCCTCCCCCCCGTCCTCCTCCTTCCCATCCCTCTCCCCCCCCATCTTCCTCGTCGTCCTCCTCCTTCCCATCTTCCTCGTCCCCCGCACCCTTCCCCTCGCCCGTGGTAATCCACCTCCCCCCCCTATCCTTCCTCCTCCGGTGCGCGCAGGGGCGGCGCGCCTGCGCCCAGGCGTGTCTGAACGCGGTGAGCTCCCTCTTCGGAAGCAACTACGTCCACCAGAACGCGCTGGGAGGCCACCACAAGGGGGCGGAGAGGAGGGGGGAGGATGAAAAGGGGGAAGAGAGAGAAAGAGAGAGAGAGAGAGAACAAAAACACACACACACACAATTATGCTACCGAGGAACCCCACATACTTATATCATGGCTGGAGTGATGATAGCTGAAGTGAAGCATGTGAGAATAATGTTGGTGGCCGTTGCCCCGCCGATACCGTTGTGCCCTGGACGACCGTCACGGATAGCGGCCGCGGTGAGAGACTACCTCTTGCGCACCCCCTCTGGTGTCGAGAAAGTGCAACGCTTGCCACGGCTTCCGACCCTGGCACACATAGAGGCCGCGCTGAGGGACCAGTCCCCGCGCACCCCCTCTGGTGGCGACAAAGTGTCACGCCTGCCCTGGCACGCATAGGGGCCGCTCTGAGGGACCACCCCCCGCGCACCCCTCTGGTGTCGAGAAAGTGCAACGCCTGCCACGCTGTCCGACCCTGTCACGCATAGAGGCCGCGCTGAGGGACCACCCCCCGCGCACCCCTCTGGTGTCGAGAAAGTGCCACGCCTGCCACGCTTTCTGACCCTGGCACGCATAGGAGCCGCGATGAGGGACCACCCTTTGCGCACCCCCTTCTGGCGTCGAGAAAGTGCAACGCCTGCCACGCTGTCCGACCCCGGCACGCATAGAGGCCGCGCTGAGGGACCACCCCCCGCGCACCCCTCCTGGTGGCGACAAAGTGCCACGCCTGCCACGCTTTCCGACCCTGGCACGCATAGGGGTCGCGCTGAGGGACCATTCTCTAAGCACCCCCTCTGGTGTGTAGAATATACCACACTTTCCGACCCTGGCACGCATAGAGACTGCGCTGAGGGACCACTCTCTGCGCACCCCCTCTGGAGTAGAGAAAATGCAACCCCCCCACGCTGTCCGACCCTGGCACGCATAGAGCCAGCGCCGAGGGACCACCCCCTGCGCACCCCCTCTGGCGTCGAGAAAGTGCAACACCTGCCACGCTGTCCGACTCTGGCACGCATAGAGGCCGCGCTGAGGGACCACCCCCTGCGCACCCCCCTTGGTGGCGGCAAAGTGGCACGCCTGCCACATTATCCAACCCTGGCACGCATAGAGGCCACGCTGAGGGACCACCCTTTGCGCCCACCCTCTGGTGTGAAGAAAGTGCCGCGCCTCTTATTGTCGCGCATGTGTTGCGTGGTGTGTGTGTGTGTGTCATGTGTATTATGCGTGTGCGGTTGTATGTTAGCGTGCGTCCCATGTGCATGATATTTGTGCGGCCGTACCGGGACGTGTGTCTCATGTGTGGGTGCCCAATTTATTGTGAATACGTTTTGAGTGTATGGTGCAATGAACACGCCAGCCGTGCACGAGCGTTGTGTGATATAGGTTGTGTGTGCGAGTGTGTGCATTCGCACGGCTGTATGTAGACGCGTGTCTCATGTACGTGTCGTGCATGTGTTGCGCGCGGGTGAAGGGAGAAAGGAAGAGGAGGAGGGGAGGTGAGGGAGACGCGGGTGCGACGCGGCACGGAAGAACACCAGAACCCCACGAAACATGTGGGGAAAAAAAACGTGTGAGGGGTGTGACCCGGGTGCGGAAACGCCATGCAAACGCGGCCATTGGGCTTTCGGTGAAGTTCCCGATGGGGCCACGAAACGTGTGATGGGTGCGCCGAAATGGAGGCGGAACTACATGCGGACCCTGCCATTGGGGCCCTGAGTGGAGCTCCTCACGGGGCCACGAAACGTGTGATGGGTGCTCCGAGATGTGGGGGGAACTGCATGCGGACCCTGCCACTGGGGCCTTGGGTGGAGCTCCCTACGGGGCCGCGAAGCGTGTGAAGGGTGCGCCTAGATGGGGGGGGGTGCAACTGCATGCGGACCCTGTCACTGGGGCCTTCAATGGAGCTCCTTACGGGGCCACGAAACGTGTCAAGGGTGTGCCCAAATGGGGGATGGAACTGCATGCGGACCCTGCCACTGGGGCCTTCGGCGAAGCTCCCCACGGGGCCGCGAAACGTGTGATGGGTGCGCCGACATTGTGGGTGGAACTGCATGCGGACCCTGCCACGGGGACCTTCGGTCGAGCTCCCTTTGGAGCCACGAAGCGTGTGAAGATTGTGCCGAAATGGTTGACATGCGGAGGGCAGAGGCATGAATAGGAGGAGGGAGGAGAAAGAGGAGGAGAGGAGACAGAAGAGAGGAGAACACGGGGCGCTGTCTCTTCAAAACGAGGGCCCAACACCACAGGATGGCTGGGAACAGTCTACACGACAAACAACACCTAACGCCAAACACACGAAGCAAACCAACAAATTTGATAGAGTGGAGGAGGAGGAGGAGGAGGTTTGCGACGTTGGCGACGACTCGCTTTCCTGGGGCGCGTCGGCTAACTCCCTTCTGGTGGTCCGTCGATCTCCGTTATGGTGGGCCTGCCCCTGGTCGATAGAGCACTGATGCGTGCGTGCTCCAAAGTGGCCCAGCAGCGTTCGGAAGGTAGAAAGGCAAAATGGCGATGTCGGACACTCTATTCCACGGGCCGTCGACGAGAAACGCGTCGATTATTGATGTTTGTTTATATTTTGCGCGGTTCGATAAACGACGCAAGTTTAAACGAAGAACCATAAATAATCCCCCATTCCTTGGAGGGAGATTCACTTCCCGAGCTCGGTGTTTTACCATTACTATCCCCCAAACAGCACTCCCAGCAAAAAGCCCTGCCGTGGGCGCGGCCACCCTACATTGGCTGGCCAAAACAAGGGTACAGCCCATACAATGCTGGCGCAATGCAATCGCCATCGTTTTCACACTGCTTGCATTTCTCTGTTTCCATGTCATCCTACATACCCCGAATCATCTACTCCCGCTCCCTTCATTTCTGAACGCGCCCCCTTTGGGGGTTCTTTCATGCCAGATCACGGGTAAGCCCCGACTGGGTAAGACAAGCGGGTCGGGCGGGTTGACCCAAACGGGCGGGTCGGGCGGATGGTCTTTCACTGGCGGGTCGGTTGGGCGGGTCCAAACGAGCGGGCTGGTCGAGTGGAACATGACAGCGTGATTCCTGGATTAATCATGGGGAGGCATCTGGCGAGAGCGGGATTCCGAAGTAATTTGCAGGGAAGTCTTCGGCGAGAGAACAATTCCTGAGAGGTGAGAGCCATGAAATCGCGAGGAACCCAAAGCAAGAGAACGATTCCTGATCAGCAAGAGCGCGGCACCTGAGTACATTGCAAGGATGCGTGGAGACGAACTCCACCCAAATGGGAGGCTGGTTTCTCAATCGAGGCACAATAACGAGACATCCTAGAAGCGCGGTGCAATGCGCAAACGATATGGAGGCGCAGAGTATTGGGATGAGGATGGGTGTGGAGGAGAAGGAGACTCATTGCGCCGTCAGGCATGTTATGACGAGCATTGCATGTCCGAGGGGGTGTTGCGAGCGATCATCAAATTTAAACTTCATGGTCAATCATTCCAGCTAGAATTTGCCATTCTCGTATCTTCTGCCTTCGGCCCAGGTGAGCAGACGGAGTTATTCAAGTCGACGTGGTTCTGCCTCACTGTGATGACGCCAACTTCGTCGAAGGAGAGAGCCATCGGAGCCAGAAGATAGGTAAACAGACGACATTCTAGGCAGGAGGGGTGCCTACCCTATCCTCTTCGCACCCTGGCTCACACTTGTTTCCTCTCGCCATTGGATGCCATGATCGCGATTAGTATCACGAGAACGCAACACTCGGGGCTGGTTGGAGGTAGATTGTGCATTAGGAGCGAGGAGAAATCGCTAATGCCTCACGTATGACCACCAGACCATCCAGCAACGATTTTTGGGCCACGTGTATTTACCGGGGAGCGTGGGAACATAGAGTGCGCAAAGAGGGATTCGCAGTGGAGGGGCGCAGAGAAAGCAGGAGTCAACCACAAAGGCTTCGCGAACCTTCCGCGGGAAGCTGGGGTGGGTCCTCTTAGAGACATCTTGGAGCCATATTGGCGGCTCTATCGGAGCGCTTCTGCTAACTATCGTCTCTTTACTCGGGCTCTCTTGGGGGCATCTGGCCCCCCCCCGCTTTTGATTTGAACCCAGACCCCACAACGATGTGCATCTTCACTCCGCTAGTAATGATTTTGCCACGGAGCCGCCAGAGTCTACAATGTGTCACGCGCATGCTCGAACGGATCTGATAGCCTGACTGCTCGCACGCGCAAGGCGCTGCATGCGGGAGTTGGCCGCCGCCCATGGCTGCTGTTCGTGTTGCGCCGAGCGCAAGGCCAACCGGTGCGTATGCTTGACGGGTCAGCGAGCGGATGTTGCGTGTGCCACCATCGGCGCAGGCAAACCACGGTTTCGGGCGCTGCCCTGGCTGAGCGGAGCAACGGATCGCGTCAAAGAGGCCAGGCAAGTTGCCCGCATCAGTTGCCGAGAGACTCGCAGGAGCCACTGCAGGGAAATTGACAAACGCGGCCCACTGCCAGCAAAGCAACTACTCGCAAATGGGCTGAATCCGCCGCGGCAGATGCACGATCCATTACATCGAGGTAAACTGCGAGTAGTGGAACGCGCCTGGTGAGGAAAGGCATTCCGTCGGAAAGCTCCAAACGCGATCCGGGCAAAGGGGTTTGGCCACGCCTTCCCCGCAATATCATTTGTTGATTCTCCTTGGGGCCGCGCCGGGGAGCCTCTTCGAGCCATGCTGCAGGAGGACGCGGAAAGTGAATGGATGAGGGGAACGGGAGGGACGCTGCCTTTTCCACGCGTGGTCAGGCCTTGGCTGCGTCGAAGGCACGCTCAGCCAGGACGCTGAAGAAGGGGCGCGCCATTCTCTTCTTGCTCGGCGCTCACTTGTGCTAGGTAGCGCGACGATTTGAAGCCCAGATGTCCGATTACATTTTGCCTGAAGTCGGGCCTGTCCCTCTACAGAGGGGAAACTCACAAATAGTTCAAAAATAGTCTGGGGATTATGTTTTGAGCATTTTTCCGCATCTTTTTTGAACATTTTTGGGGTATGTTTCTTTTTTCCGTTTGGGGTATTTTTCTTTTTCCCGTCTTGAATCCCCTTGTAGGGGGGACAGGCCCGACATAAACTGGGCGCCGGCGGTAAACCGTCAACCTGGTTACCGCCGGGGACCTCGTAGAGCTCTTTTCTTGCCCAGCTCCTCGGAACACGTGAAGGAAACTTAAGCGAGAGCCGAAAAACTCTAAAAAATCGGTCGCATACAAATAGTTTTGCGAACTGGCCCGACAAAAACTTTGCCATCCGACGCCCCAGAGCTCCTGACCCCTTCCCTGGAGGCAGGCGCTCGGTCCGCAGCCGCTCCCGACGGCTCCCTGGGCCCGACCACGCGCCCCGGAGGCGGCAGTCCAGAGAGAGTCTCGGCGCTGGCAGCTTGTCAGAGACGCCTACGGCGAATCACCGCCGCCCCCCGCCGCTCTCGAAGCCCGTACGTGGCCGAACTGTGCAGCCAGAGTTCGGCGAAGCTATGTTTTATTATTATTGTTGTTGTTATTATTATTATTATAATTATTATTCTTATTAATATTAGTATTATTATTATTATTATTATTATTATTATTATTGGTTGTATTTTTATTATTATTATTATTATTAATACTACTATTATTACTACTATTATTTTTAGTATGATTGTTATTATTATTATTAATATTATTAGTATTATGATTATTAATTTTATTTTTTATTATGATGGTTATTATCATTGATATTTTTAGTATTATGGTTGTTATTATCATTAATATTCGTATTATTATCCTTGTTCTTATTATTATTGCTGTTATTCGTATCATCATTATTGTTATTATTATTATCATTAACATTATTTGTATTATTAATATTATTATTAGTATTATAGTTATTAGTATTATTAGTATTATTAATATTACTAGTATTATTCGTATTATTAGTAATATTATTATTAGTATTAATAATAATATTAATATTACTATATATGTATATATGTATATATGTATATATGTATATGTATGTGTGTATGTGTGTGCGTGTGACTATATATATATATATATATATATATATATGTATATACATATATGTATATATACATATGCATACATACATATATACATACATACATACAGATACATGTACCTAAAAAGAGACGTATGCATATACATATGAATGTGTATATATATGTATGATGAAAAAAGAGAGTGTGTGAGGGTGACTATATATATATATGAAAAAACTCCGACGGTAGGACCCCACATGAAAACCTGTTTAGTTTACCCTTTGCCTTTTCCTCCTCCCCCTGGCGGACATCCTCTCCTCTCGCCCTCTGCACTGCCCTCTCTTCCTCCTTCTATGTATATTCCTCCTCCTTCTCCTCCTCCCCCTCCTCCTCCTCCGTAGCCATTTTGGCTCAAGATGCTTTGTTCCACAGCGGAACGCGCGGATACCGCTAGTCCGCGGCCAATGCCAGGGCGCTTCTGCCCGACAGTCCCCTTTTCACGTCCAGCCAGTCTCGCGCCATGGTGCGGAAGCAGCCTTTCACGTGGTGCAGAGGCTGCGGCAATTGGGCCTACAACTTTCGTATCATCGCCAACGACGGGAAGTGCGCGAAGTGCAACTGCGCCATCGACCTGTTCCAGCCTGCTGGCGCCAACGGCGGCAAAGGAGGCAAAGGCAAGGCCCTGCCCAAGCCCCCTGGTCCGCTCCCGCCCTGGCGCCACCCGTCAGCCCCTGCGGACCCCGCAGCTATGCTCCAGATGCTCGCTGCGGTCCCAGCGCTGGCAGGTTCGGCCGCCTTGCAGGAGCTGGAGCACAAGTACTCGGCCAGTCTCGCCAAGCAGCGCACGCCCCAGCAGGAGGCCAACTTCGCCGCCCAGAACCTCCAGAAGAAGGAGGCCGCCCTTCGTCGAGCGGCCGATGCACAGGTCGCTGCCGAGGCGGCTCTGGTCAAGGCCAAGGACGAGGTCCTGGTGGCCACTGAGGAGGCCCTTCAGGCTCGCGCTGCCAATGACAAGGCGACCGAGGCTCGCACCATGTCGGTCGGCAAGCCGAAGTGCCCGCCAGAAGGGCACACAGTCGACGGCAAGAAGATCCTGCTCGCGATCGACGAGACCGACTACACCGACAACCTCGACGAGTACGATGAGACCCAGCAGAAGACGCTCTGTGACCTCAAGGCCCAGATGGACGCGCACGTGCAGCAGGTCGCCGCTCTGCAGGAGACGCTCGCGGCCACGCTCAAGTCCGTCCAGGAGATCCGTGCTGCATCAGCTAAGCGGCTCCGCGGGGCTGGCGGTTCTCCCCACCAAGGCCCTGGCGCCGAGGCGGCCGCCAAGGAGGAGCAGCCCCCCCCAGCCGCCGCCCCAGCCCCTGCCCCAGCCGCCGACGCAGCCCCCGCCCCCCCCCCCCCCCCCCAGCCGCCGCCCCAGCCCTTGCCCCAGCCGCCGACGCAGCCCAGGCTCGCGAGGCAGCCAAGGCCGAGGCAACCCAAGCCATCGCCAGGGCCAAGGAGCGCGCTGAGGCCAAGGCTAGCGGCGCTGCTGGCTGGCCTACTGTTGCTGATGCCAATGGCGGCGGCCCAGGCAGCCAGGCCAAAGGAGGAGGGCGGTCGTCCTCCTAACGACGGCCGCTTCTTCTTCTTCGCCAACATCTCGGAGCGGGGCCCGCGCTCCGAGCGGTTCATGAGGGCCCAGGCCGAGCAGCACGACGTGCTCGGCTTTGCGGAGACCCACCTGAGGGGGGAGAAGCTCGAGAAGATGAAGGTTGACATGTCCAAGGATGGGTGGAAAGCGATCGCCGCGCCCTCTACGCCTACAGGCCGCTCTCAGTCGGGCACCACAGGAGGCGAAGCCATCCTTAGCAAGAAGACGCTCGCAACCACCTCCTTCGAGGGCTGGAGGAAGGCCGAGCTCGAGCGGTCGGCGAAGGATCCATTCGAGGGTTTCTGCCCGCCCACGCGGCATACGAAGTCGGGAAATTTGATTGTTGTCGCAGCCTACCTTCAGCCCAAGTTCGGTTTTCGTGGCCCGAACGAGCGCATGCTGATCAGATTGGCAGCGTCATTGAGGCTTCTGGCAGATCCTTGGGTAGTCCTGGGCGATTGGAACAACCAGCCGAGCGAGTGGGACAAGACGAGGTGGCTTCGCAAGCTTGGCGGCTCCCTCGTGCTGCCGAAGAATGTCGCCACCACCTGCAACCTCGGCCAGGGTACCCTGATAGATTACGGAATCGCCCGCTCGGATCTCGCGGCTTCCTTGAAGTTAGAGGCGGCGGTGGAGGTCCCTTGGAAGACGCACGTTGGCCTGGTCCTCTCGATCTGCGACGGCAGGTGCAATTGGTGGAACCGCGTCATTCAGGTGCCGCGAGAGTTCCCCACAGTCGCTAGGCCAAAGAAGCAGGCGGACCCGAACAGCAAGCGGCAGAGGGCCTTGACATCCCACCGCAAACGGAAGGAGGCCCTGGACCAGCAGCTCCAGGAGGCCCATGACGAGATCCACCGCATCGAAGAAGACGCCGCGCCCTCCCCAGCGGCAAGCTTCTGCATCCCCCTCGACCTCTGGCTTCGTGCCAATTCAGCGTCGGCCACCAGAGCCGACGACCAAGTGCCAAG